TAAATATCAAGATTATTGACAACAGAGCTGTCATACAGGTTTTGAAACACAACCTGTCTTTAATAGAAAACGAAAATGCGGTCCTACAATCAAAGAATAAAGTCCTTTTTGACATTTTCTGAGCAATAATGTTGTTGAATGTTGTTAAAGGAAGCTGCCATCAAGACTAAACAGCAATTGCAACGGTTTAATGCGAACAGCTTTTGGATGTTGAATAGGATGACAAACCAAACGTGCGGTTTGGTCCGGTTTCGGAAAGGTTACTGTCATTAATAAATTTCATTCATTTCATTCCTGTGCAACTATTTTTTCACGTCACTTTATACTGACTTTTTATATGTTGTGTCCATGTTAGTACCTAAGATATGTAATATAGCATGAGTGGAGCTGAACATATATGACATAATGCACTGGAGTTAATTGAACATGTAAACAATGAAGGAACATAACTTTGATTACATAACCTCTTAGAAGGAACTCTATTATTCAAGATACGTCTTGAACAGTATAATGGGAAAAAAGTCTGTGGTAGGTACATTTATAAAAAAATGAACATCCTAGATATATTCATAACTAAGTATTTGATACGTGCAAATGAAATATGAAAATATGTATCGTTTTTTTTTGTGTTGAGACAGTATTTCAAAAATGCCATCCTTTTGCATTTGAGAAAAATAATATTTCGGAAAGATGTTATTCTTATAAATGCACCATAATTGCACGCTAATTCGTCACATGATTATTTAGATTTGAATGCGGTTGAAACGTCAGATGGTATGCAAATAAACCTGGATTGCGAACTTGTTTCTTTGTTTTATTTACACTCAAAGTACTGCTACAGTTTGAATGAGGTACATGTGATCCGTCGCTTTTTCAATTTGGGCATTGATCATTTTTCAAGGTTCTGGCGATAACATTGGTGTATGATGTAGTCTGTTTTGACGCGAACAAAATAAACTCAATTTTTTCAAGATCAATTCACCGAAGCATAAATCGTTTTGTTCATTCAAAATTACATAGAGTTAAGATAAGACATACATCCGGGCTTTGGCCTAGTTAATTGCGAGGAATACACAAATATTAGACTCTTAAAGTATAAACTTTTACAATTCACCATTCTCAACAGTTTAAATATTTCTTAACATCTTAAAATCAGCATACAAATAACTAAACGATATTTATTGATTTCAAAGTGCGATTGGAAGCTTTTGGGCAACTAATGTCTTTGTAATTATGTGTGTGTATGTGTGTGTGTGTGTGATTTTTAACGTAGCTTTATCAATTATTCAGCCCTATCGCTACGATATCTGCAGTGTGTCAGTTTATAATGATATCTAGAACTGGGGCATCATGCCGCTGACATATAGCATGATGTCCCACCCAGTCACATTACCCTGACACCAGGCCGAACAGTCCTAACACTAACCTCTTAATTCTGAGCTAAGCGATGCAGCTGCAAGTACTATTTTTATAAGTCTTTGGTATAACTCGACCGGGGTTAGATCCCGCGACCTCCCGCATCCAAGGCGTACGCTCTAACCACTGGACCACCTGAGTGTGCAGCATTGTAATTTCATAGATGTCCCAAAGATATCAAAACTTCTGCGGCTTCACCTTAGGTGCATACAGGTGATAAACTTTCTCCAGATCCAACTATTGGGGTATTATATGTATAATTTTAAATATTTGGGTTTTCTTTCTTTAATGACAACAATCTTTGTGGAGATTTTGCTTCCCCCCTCACAAGAAACCCAGTTTGTCACTGTTTCATTTTTTAGCGTTAAATATATAAAATAGTTTTTAAAAATGTTTTTACAAATGACAAGAATAGTTCATTTATAGCAATGTATTCTAGATTTGCCGTGAATATGGCAAGTGAGTTTTTGTATTTAGAAATTACATCTTTCACTGATGACATCATAAAACACTGCCCAAATATTGTCATTTGCGTTATTGACGTGTCTTTTGCAAAGCACGCGCAACAACTGAGCACAGCATTAATGTAGATTTTATTTCAACGTGTTGATCATATTTCTAACTAAACTTCGCATAGATGCAATTTATAGAAAAAAAAGATTCTTGCAAATCTTGAGTTTTTTCCTATTTTCTTGCCATTGTGATATATTTTCAAGACTCATCAAGCCGAAAAATGAACTCTTTTCATTATATCTGAAACCCCTTCAGGCTGAGCATTGACCTCTATATATCTGAGCTGTTTCTGAGTCGGGAATGAATTCTTAATATTAAATCTGAAATCCCAGCGATCTCAGAATTGTCAAAATAGGTCTACTGCGACATACAGCATGTAATATTAGAAAACTAGTGGAGGCAGATCTTTTGTTCTGGAATGGGCTATTTAACGATGGTATTGTTGAGGTCTTGAACTTTTTAAGACGTATTTTAAGGAATGTACCCTTTTTGACTCTAGTTTTGTTTTACATACATACATACATACATACATACATACATACATACATACATACATACATACATACATACATACATACATACATACATACATACATACATACATACATACATACATACATACATACATACATAGATAGAAGGAAGTTTCACTAAACATGATCATTATAATACACTGTTTGCTGATCTTGCCTAAATTTCACTCATTATGCTAAACTCGAGCAGGAGCCAACATAATTCAACAATAAATTTTTTATTAGCCTAAACTCAAAAGAATAACAACTTTATTTCATCAACAAAGTTAAAATAGATGTTCTGGCTTAATCAAGACTTTAGTGCTTAACATGTCGCAATATGGTCTGCTTATAAGGAACCAATATTATGTATTGATTTCGTGTAGGTAGCTTACTTTGCATCATTCCAGGGACGTCGTATGATAGTTTTAAAACCCATTGACCGAACGAAGTACCAGCGCACATTTATATTTCTCTGACTAGTCAGTACGGAAAGCATACATCACAGCTTTCATGGATTACACATAAACAATTTCATACGTCTTACCTTCCTTGCACTTTCTCATTTTTGTCTTGATTATATTTGCGATCTCACTCTCCCTTATTATCATTTATTTTCTCATGTTTTTGTGGCGACACTCATTTTGTAAATACCTCTACTATGTTTAAAATTGCCACTGCAAAATGTATCGACTGTGGATTAAAACACATTGATCGGTACAATTCTGGATTATTTGTTGAGCTGGCGATCGCTACCTTTTCTGATTGCTCCATAGTAGCTGGAGATCAGGCACATTTTTGTTTTCATCATCTTTAAGGAGATCGGCGCTTGGTGACTATGGAGTGGAATTACCGTCATCATTATATGCATGTATTTTCTATTCTTCCTTGATGCATTTTTGTAAATGGGTACTTGCAAGTGCTACTTTCATAATTCTCTCCATGTATATTGTATTCTTCATTGATGCAAATTGTACGTGGCAGCTTTCAAGTGCTACTTTCCTTCTATATTATTGTAAATGGCTGCTTGCATTTGCTACATTCCAAATTCCAGTCATGAATTTTCTGTTTTTCATTGTTGCAAGCTGTAAGTGACTGATTGCAAGTGTTTAGCTCTACTTTCAAAATGCGTCATTGTATTTTGCAGTTTGCCTGCTCTACAGATTCGTTAGTATGTTGCATGGCAAAGCGCTATGGTACCTATTATAATTTTTGTATTCTGTTTATAAACTTGCCACATTACAATACATCATTCCAACTGCTGTTATCTTACAGATTTGACCTTGCAACAGTGTAAATACCAAGTTTTGTCAGTATCGACTTTTTCCAACTCGTGACGCCATCTGTTGGCATTATGGCATTGCTAGAGATGAGTATGGCATTATGACAACAGACGGAGCTCTAAATTTTTTTTTCCTTTACCAGAAACAATTAATGCTCACCACGGGGCTTTACGGCATTTAATTTGTGTTGATAAACTCTGCATCTCTTTCCAGTTAAATTTTTAAGGTGTACGTTAGCGACGAAGTTTTTATCATTCTCTAAAACCAAATGCTTTCTCGAACATTTAAGTGATTTATTTTGGGAAAAAATATCATTTAGAGAAAAATCAATAGCACATACAAAGTTTATTGGTAAAACGACATTAAAAGAATAAAGCCTTCATAATGAATTTTTCATTCTCATCACAATCTTCATTTTAGAACATATATTGTCGCTGATGAGAGTTGTTTTCGGACACTTTTATGTTTGCCCCATGACTTTCAGGGTGATAGGCAGAAAAAGAACTGTTTGATACCTAATTCATGCATACATTCTTAGAAATAGTCAAACATAAAATTTGCTGAACAAATCTGAGGAGACAAATAAGTGTTAAAATATTGCCTAAACATTTAGAACAGTTTTGCTTAATATTCATCAAAAGAGATCTTCAGGACGCACACATTATGTTCAAGTGTTGGTTCCTTGACTTGGTATTAGGTAAAAAACCGACTATCTGCCATATTTCTGTTAAATGGCTTATCAAATGTTAAAATGCAGGAATCAGTTGTGGATGTTCTCTAGATATCTTCTGACTATGGTTGCCTACCGTTTGACAAATGTGACAAAATCTTTGGTATTTACAAACATCATTTTTAATTTTCGGCAAATAAAAATGATTCAGGATCTTGTAATAAATTTTACTGACAACAAAATGACCATCTTAATGTGTTTTATGCGCTAGACTTAGAATTTCCTGTATATACGACGAATAAATCAAAGTGCGATTGGAAGCTTTTGGGCAACTAATGTCTTTGTAATTATGTGTGTGTGTATGTGTGTGTGTGTGTGTGTGATTTTTAACGTAGCTTAATCAATTATTCAGCCCTATCGCTACGATATCTGCAGTGTGTCAGTTTATAATGATATCTAGAACTGGGGCATCATGCCGCTGACATATAGCATGATGTCCCACCCAGTCACATTACCCTGACACCAGGCCGAACAGTCCTAACACTAACCTCTTAATTCTGAGCTAAGCGATGCAGCTGCAAGTACTATTTTTATAAGTCTTTGGTATAACTCGACCGGGGTTAGATCCCGCGACCTCCCGCATCCAAGGCGTACGCTCTAACCACTGGACCACCTGAGTGTGCAGCATTGTAATTTCATAGATGTCCCAAAGATATCAAAACTTCTGCGGCTTCACCTTAGGTGCATACAGGTGATAAACTTTCTCCAGATCCAACTATTGGGGTATTATATGTATAATTTTAAATATTTGGGTTTACTTTCTTTAATAACAACAATCTTTGTGGAGATTTTGCTTCCCCCCTCACAAGAAACCTAGTTTGTCACTGTTTCATTTTTTAGCGTTAAATATATAAAATAGTTTTAAAAAATGTTTTTACAAATGACAAGAATAGTTCATTTATAGCAATGTATTCTAGATTTGCCGTGAATATGGCAAGTGAGTTTTTGTATTTAGAAATTACATCTTTCACTGATGACATCATAAAACACTGCCCAAATATTGTCATTTGCGTTATTGACGTGTCTTTTGCAAAGCACGCGCAACAACTGAGCACAGCATTAATGTAGATTTTATTTCAACGTGTTGATCATATTTCTAACTAAACTTCGCATAGATGCAATTTATAGAAAAAAAAAGATTCTTGCAAATCTTGAGTTTTTTCCTATTTTCTTGCCATTGTGATATATTTTCAAGACTCATCAAGCCGAAAAATGAACTCTTTTCATTATATCTAAAACCCCTTCAGGCTGAGCATTGACCTCTATATATCTGAGCTGTTTCTGAGTCGGGAATGAATTCTTAATATTAAATCTGAAATCCCCGCGATCTCAGAATTGTCAAAATAGGTCTACTGCGACATACAGCATGTAATATTAGAAAACTAGTGGAGGCAGATCTTTTGTTCTGGAATGGGCTATTTAACGATGGTATTGTTGAGGTCTTGAACTTTTTAAGACGTATTTTAAGGAATGTACCCTTTTTGACTCTAGTTTTGTTTTACATACATACATACATACATACATACATACATACATACATACATACATACATACATACACACATACACACACATACATACATACATACATACATACATACATACATACATACATACATACATACATACATACATACATACAACATACATGCATGCTGCATGCATGCATACATACATGCATGCATGCATGCATGCATGCATGCATGCATGCACGCACGCACGCACACACACACACACACACACACACATACATACATACATACATACATACATACATACATACATACATACATACATACATAGATACATACATACATACATACATACATACATACATACATACATACATACATACATACATACATACATACATACATACATACATAGAAGGAAGTTTCACTAAACATGATCATTATAATACACTGTTTGCTGATCTTGCCTAAATTTCACTCATTATGCTAAACTCGAGCAGGAGCCAACATAATTCAACAATAAATTTTTTATTAGCCTAAACTCAAAAGAATAACAACTTTATTTCATCAACAAAGTTAAAATAGATGTTCTGGCTTAATCAAGACTTTCGTGCTTAACATGTCGCAATATGGTCTGCTTATAAGGAACCAATATTATGTATTGATTTCGTGTAGGTAGCTTACTTTGCATCATTCCAGGGACGTCGTATGATAGTTTTAAAACCCATTGACCGAACGAAGTACCAGCGCACATTTATATTTCTCTGACTAGTCAGTACGGAAAGCATACATCACAGCTTTCATGGATTACACATAAACAATTTCATACGTCTTACCTTCCTTGCACTTTCTCATTTTTGTCTTGATTATATTTGCGATCTCACTCTCCCTTATTATCATTTATTTTCTCATGTTTTTGTGGCGACACTCATTTTGTAAATACCTCTACGATGTTTAAAATTGCCACTGCAAAATGTTTCAACTGTGGATTAAAACACATTGATCGGTACAATTCTGGATTATTTGTTGAGCTGGCGATCGCTACCTTTTCTGATTGGTCCATAGTAGCTGGAGATCAGGCACATTTTTGTTTTCATCATCTTTAAGGAGATCGGCGCTTGGTGACTATGGAGTGGAATTACCGTCATCATTATATGCATGTATTTTCTAATCTTCCTTGATGCATTTTTGTAAATGGGTACTTGCAAGTGCTACTTTCATAATTCTCTCCATGTATATTGTATTCTTCATTGATGCAAATTGTACGTGGCAGCTTTCAAGTGCTACTTTCCTTCTATATTATTGTAAATGGCTGCTTGCATTTGCTACATTCCAAATTCCAGTCATGAATTTTCTGTTTTTCATTGTTGCAAGCTGTAAGTGACTGATTGCAAGTGTTTAGCTCTACTTTCAAACTGCGTCATTGTATTTTGCAGTTTGCCTGCTCTACAGATTCGTTAGTATGTTGCATGGCAAAGCGCTATGGTACCTATTATAATTTTTGTATTCTGTTTATAAACTTGCCACATTACAATACATCATTCCAACTGCTGTTATCTTACAGATTTGACCTTGCAACAGTGTAAATACCAAGTTTTGTCAGTATCGACTTTTTCCAACTCGTGACGTTATCTGTTGGCATTATGGCATTGCTAGAGATGAGTATGGCATTATGACAACAGACGGAGCTCTAAATTTATTTTTTTTTTCCTTTACCAGAAACAATTAATGCTCACCACGGGGCTTGACGGCATTTAATTTGTGTTGATAAACTCTGCATCTCTTTCCAGTTAAATTTTTAAGGTGTACGTTAGCGACGAAGTTTTTATCATTCTCTAAAACCAAATGCTTTCTCGAACATTTAAGTGATTTATTTTGGGAAAAAATATCATTTAGAGAAAAATCAATAGCACATACAAAGTTTATTGGTAAAACGACATTAAAAGAATAAAGCCTTCATAATGAATTTTTCATTCTCATCACAATCTTCATTTTAGAACATATATTGTCGCTGATGAGAGTTGTTTTCGGACACTTTTATGTTTGCCCCATGACTTTCAGGGTGATAGGCAGAAAAAGAACTGTTTGATACCTAATTCATGCATACATTCTTAGAAATAGTCAAACATAAAATTTGCTGAACAAATTTGAGGAGACAAATAAGTGTTAAAATATTGCCTAAACATTTAGAACAGTTTTGCTTGATATTCATCAAAAGAGATCTTCAGGACGCACACATTATGTTCAAGTGTTGGTTCCTTGACTTGGTATTAGGTAAAAAACCGACTATCTGCCATATTTCTGTTAAATGGCTTATCAAATGTTAAAATGCAGGAATCAGTTGTGGATGTTCTCTAGATATCTTCTGACTATGGTTGCCTACCGTTTGACAAGTGTGACAAAATCTTTGGTATTTACAAACATCATTTTTAATTTTCGGCAAATAAAAATGATTCAGGATCTTGTAATAAATTTTACTGACAACAAAATGACCATCTTAAGGTGTTTTATGCGCTAGACTTAGAATTTCCTGTATATACGACGTAGGAATAACCACTTGATTACTCACCAAAAGGTACATTAGGTGGTCGCTATTTTCTCATAATGACCCCATTTTTCACAAAGTAACAAACTTATAGTTGTGTAACTTCATTTTCAGAAACACAGTCTTATGTCTTCGTTGAGGAATAGTACTTAGGAGTACTTCAGAACTTATAACTCACATTAAAACGTCCAGCATGTTCATAAAGTAGCTGTTATTTTCTATTTAGATATCTTGCAACTTCAGTCAGAAATTAGCAAGTGGTTTCTATTATTCTGTGAAGAGAGTTATTAAGTCATTTAAATTATGGAATTCACTTTATCCGTTGTTGCAAGGCACATATATCAGAGATAACAGGCCAAATTTAAGATTACATCTCAGTCACAAATGTAATAGATTTGTGGAGGTCCGATCATGAGAAAAAGAAAAACAAATTTAGTAAATAAATATAACCCTTTTCACTTTTTGTTTGCTCATAGCAATTGAAACCACCTATTTTATTGCCGGCAAAAAGCAAATTCTCCAAATCGTGAGCATATTTTTTTTTATAGATTGAATACAGATTTAGTAATGGAATGTTGTGTGGTGTATATTCCTGAAACTGTCACTAGGGAACATAACCTGACTGTTTTTGAGGCATAATTTACAATGTATGTGGTGTACAAAAATAAATGTGTCTCGTCGAATACAAAATTTACAGTTTCAATTCCTAAGAATTTGCAATTATGAGTGTATGTATAATCCAAAAGCCAAATTGTGTAGAAAGCTTGTCTTTATTCATGTTTTATTCATGCGAAAGTGAAAAACAAAAGGAATTGACAAATAAATCTATCAGAACAACGTAACAAGACAATCCAGGTATTCGTTCATTATAATTTACTTACATGTATGACAATTTTTGTTTTAGACTAATTTGTCTAATGATATTGGTTCAATTAATGCCGATTTAAATTAAATACTTATTTTTCTCCAATATATCCTATAAAAAGTTAAAGACTGCATATATATTTTATTTACTTATTTTGCATTATTGTATAGTTGTATTGTGCTGATATTTTTTGTGTCATGACAATATTAACTTATATTTAAACAAGATAAAAAATGATAAAATCACAGATATAGAAAATATATTTCATATTGTTGGAAATTATTTTCTTATATAATGAAATAAGTTCTTACTTTCGTAGCATATATATATATATATATATATATATATATATATATATATATATATATATATATATATATATATATATATATATATATATATAATATAGTCATGTTACGTTATATGCTTTGTATGTAATCTCCTTTTTCAAGTTTGCCTCTTGCTCCTGTGTTGAAGCTGGATATATAAAATTAAACTGGATATATTGGATTCTTGTCACAGATAAAAATTGATAATACTTGCTGGCTATTGCATAATCATCGTGCCACACTTTTATAAGAATTCTGTATAATTTGAATATATAACTTAGTTCGTGTGTGTGTGTGTGTGTGTGTGTGTGTGTGTGTAAACTGCCTATGTAAACTGCAAGTTAACAATTAAAATTTATTTCATAGGGATGAAAGCATAAACAGAATCTTCATCTCTGTAATGTTCTCTC